GTGGTGTGGTAGGTGATGCGGTCACCCGAAGGAGAGGACAAGGTGCCATCACAGCCAAAGGCTACAGCCACGCCACAGTCACTGGGCATGCGCGCCAGTGCCTGCCTCACCACAAAGTCTATAAACACGTTGAACAACAACGGAGCAATGACACAGCCTTGCCTAACACCACACGATACATCAAACAATCCTCCACCCACCACCCAAAGGAAAAGGCCCAGCTTCAAGCCCCAATTGCTGCACCCACCTCCAATCCCGCCCAGATCTGAATCTCACGGCCGCCAGCGTCAAGAGCCCGAGCTGGGTTGCCACGGTGCAGCCGCAGGTGGACAACAGCGCCATCAGCAACGTCGTCTACGGCGCAATGTGAGGCGATGCCCGAACCACCCCTCTTGAGTCACCCGGCAAAAGGTTCCTCGATGCTGCAAGCGACGGCGTGTGGGCACGCGACTGTCGGGCCCATTTTGGGGGATTATGCTGTACCACTGCATAGGGCTCTAGGGGCGGGCCTCCTTCATCTCCCCTTTGCGCAGCTGCCTGACACACCCATCCTCCTGCCGACTACCACCCCAGCAGCCGGGCAGTGTCGTCCCCTCAGCTTTGCATTTGCCTAACAAGCCGACCGGCACCGTTCAGTCCTCTCATACCTCGCCAAAGTGCTTTTGCCACCTGAATTCGATCCTTTCCAAACGTGCTGGTCTCGAACCCTCTCCAGTGAGAACAACACCTCAAGCATCACTCACCAAACCACCCGAACCCAATTACCACCTCACCCAATCCGCGGCGGACCCCAGCAACTTCCCGTCGTCTATGTCCACCGACAAGGCGACCCGCGACGCGTCGCTGGCGGCCACCGACCGCATCAACCAGTGGTCCGTGGACGCCAACATGAGGGTGGACGTGTACGAGGCCCTCAAGGCGTTCAACAAGACGCCAGAGGCCAAGGCGCTCAAGGGGGAGCAGGTGAGCGAACTTGTGGGGCCACTCACCGCCCGTCGTTTGCGCCTTGAGGGGCTTTTGCATACCCACGGCCTGCTTCTGCCGTGCGCGGCCGCCGGTATGCACGCGTTGCAACCCCTCTTATGCGGGGTCTGAGTTGGGTCGCGCGCCTGCCTCTGCTGACGCAGGCGCGGTTCTTCACATTTGCGCTGCGCGACGCGCGGCGCTCGGGCCTTGACCTGCCGAAGGACAAGAGGGACGAGGTGCGGGGCTACTCCTTGAACCCCAATTGAATTGGTTGCCCTGATATCATGCGTCCCCTGCCACTCCAGTGTGCGGGCTACACCCGAGACCCTGGACCCTGAGCGGCTGCAATGCGACGGCATTGCAACGCTTGACAGAGCTGGATCATGCATGGCAACCGTGTGTACAACCAAAAACAAAGTGACAAAGCCACCGTGACCATGCTGACACCCTCCTCCATCCCTGCTATCCTGCAGTTGTCAGCTCTTTTGAAAAAGATGGCAACAATTAAGTGGGTGGTGTTAGCCAAGCTGGGCACAGCAAGTGCTACTATGCACTTAGCACTAAAGATGCTGCGTGTCCACGCCCACAAGTCACTCTAGCAATGCTCGAGGTTCCATGGGCACACGAACCTCCATGGCCCCACCACCCTCCACGCGTACTTGACCCCCGTGCCTCGTTGGCTGATAAGTTTCCTCCCATTGTCCTCACACTCTCCCCCTCAACCCAACTTCACACCCACTCCTACATTTGCAGCTTCATGCCCCGCACCCCACCCCAAAACCCGTTCCCAGGCTGGACTTCTCGGCCTGCCTAACTGCAGACACCACCCACCTTTCGTTCCTGCCCTCCGAGCTCAACGGCACCACGAAGGAGTTTGTGGCCGGCCTCAAGCGCGACCCCAACAACACCAACAAGGCGAGATTCACCAGACCAGGCCTTGTGTGTGGAGGAAACGGGATCACAGGGCCAAATTCTTCAAGCAGTTGTGCTCAAGAGCACGCAGAAGGGAGGGAAACGGACTGCACACTCCATAGAGAGTCTTGGCTGTTTGCTGCATGTCATACCATGGCTTGCAATGGTGAATGTCTCGAGCACCTTGCGTCCTTTGACTGACGCGCCGCCTGTTCTTGCTGTGACTCACCTCTTGTCCAGGTCATCGTGACTGTGAAGTACCCGGACTACTACCCTATCATTCAGGAGTGCACGGTGAGCGGCCTCAGCTTGACAAAAAGGGCGTTCACTGGCGCACGGCTGTGTAATAAAAACGTTACTGCTGCATGGCGTAAGCCTTGACAGGCATTGCGCCCTCTAATCAACCTCTGCTCTTTGCACCGCATAAACTTAACATCTGGCGCCAGTCCCTCCTCCGACTCACCGCTTTGAATAGGTTGAGAGCACCCGCAAGCAGATGGAGTTTGCATACAACAACGTCTGCGCGGACACAAACACAAAGCGCCTTGACGACCTCGTGGCCCTCAGGGCCAAGGTGCGCCCCCCTGCTGTCCCCCCCCTCTACTGCCCGCCAGCAATCACCCCCGAGGTGCCCGCCATAACAGTGCGGCCGCAGGCATGCTATTGCTACGTAAAGCTCGGTGTTGACCATCCCAGCCAACACAGAGCGTGCGTCGAATCCATTTCCCATCCTTCAGCTTACTCACGCACCATCCCGCCACCTTGGATCACGCACGCTCCTGGGGGCCGACCCTTAAACCCCAAACCCCTAGGTGGCTGCTATCCTCGGCTACGCCAATTGGGCCGCCTACACCCAGGAGACCCTGATGGCCAAGAACCCTGAGCGCGTCATGAAGTTCCTCACCGAGCTCAGGGCCAAGCTGGTCAAGGTCAGCTGGCGGCGGGGCCGTGCTTTCGGTCGCGCCTGTCGCTTTGCACTCTGCACTCTGATAAGCATCGACAATCACGTGCAAAACACCGGAATCATCTGACCAACCGTGACGTGCCCATGCCCCTCCATGCCGTTCTCTGGAACCACTCAGCTGCGTGACCAGCAGTACGACGTGCTGCTGCAGTACAAGCGCCAGGAGAAGGAGGCGCAGGGAAAGAAGTTTGACGGCGTCCTCAACAGCTGGGAGGGCAGCTTCTACGCCCAGCAGGCGCGGGGCACCTGCGCGCGTGCGCGCCTGTGTGCGCCACCAGCCTTCCCAGCTCCCTCCTCTCTTGACTTTGGCACGGCGCGTGTGGGCGGGGGCGGCACCCCACCTGGGCCTTGTGATGTGTGCAGCCGGCGTCCCAACTCTTGGTCTCTTCCCTGGATCTTTTCTGCACTCAGATTGAGAAGCGCGACTTCAGTGTGGACAAGCAGGAGGTGCAACAGTACTTCCCGATCGCGGTGCGGCTCGGATCTGATGGCACAATGCACTCCGTCATGTGCTCCATCCTGCCGCGACAATTGGGCATGTATTAGCATTCATGTGTCACGAGAGCTGGCACTACCCTGTCCCCTTAGCCACATTGAGCTAATAAACCTTGGCCTCAGCCCGGCAATGCTTTGCTAATGCCTTCCCGGATGGTGCTGTCTGATGAACCCCGGCCTCATCCCGGCAATGCTTGGCTGTCACTCTCCCAGTACGTGGTGCCCAAGCTGCTTGACGTGTACCAGGAGCTGCTGGGCCTGAGGTTCCAGCTCGACACCGCCCTCTCAAAGGCTGCGTGGGCGCCAGGGGTCGAGGCCTACAAGGTGGGGGGTAGGGGGGGTTGACTTGTGAGACGGGGCTACTGCACCATGGGGCTTGCTGCATCAAGGCAGGGGCCTGGCGACTGCACCGCAGCTTCCGGTCAATCGCCACCCGTGCCCGAACCCACTCGTCAAGATGTATCGTCATGATGTCTGGCATTACTGATGACGTTCCTATGACCATGGCGTGGTGTGCTGAGATCTGTGATTGTGTCTGCACTCGCAGGTTTTTGATGCCAAGTCCAAGGAGCTGCTGGGGATCTTCTACCTGGACCTGCACCCGAGGGAGGGCAAGTTTGGCCACGCAGCCATGTTGTGAGTCTAGGGTCTGGGGCTGAGAGGTCGGGTTCAGCACGGCACCTGTCTCCACGTCGGTGCTCGTGACTGTGCGTGCCCGTGACTGTGCGTGCCTGTGCGTGCAGCTGTATGCGGGCAAGAGAGCGAGAGTGTGTTTGTTTGCAGGATGTATGCGTGTGGGTGGTCCAGATACAATCATCCGCACGCACCACAGCAGGCACAAATCAGGCGTACATTGACAGCACCGCCACAACACTCTTTCTTCGCCGCGCCCTACTTGCCCCGTCGCTGCCAGCCGTCAGCCTCAACCCACCACACGTTTACCTTATACTGCTGCCCCCTCCTGCTCATGTGTATTGCAGCGGCCTGCAGCCGCCGAGCTGGATCCAAGTAGGCGGCAAGACTGAGAAGCTGATTGGGGTCGGCTCGCTGAGTGAGTGGCAAATCGAGGCAGAACCTGACAGGTCTTGTTGAGTGCATCCAAGTGACCAAGCCATGAGTGATTGGGCGATTATTGCTGGCTGTTGAGGAAACAACAGCGGCCCAGGGCCGCCCATAACGCGCGCGTCTGGCTCTCGAGTGCAGCTGCTGCAGCTCTGCTTTGCAGGCCTGCTCCCCTTTGATCCCTCCTGCTTGACCCCTTGTGTCGTGCCCCCTCCCCCGCCTGCGGCCCGCAGTGTGCAACTTCCCTGACGACACGCCGACGCAGCCCGGCCTCCTGCCCCATGATGATGTGGTGAGCTTCCGGAACGAGGGCCCTCTGCAGCCGCTCCCCGGGCTCAGTTTGCCAGGTGGCCAGACGCGCGTTTTATGCCAGGGTGCTTTTCACCCTTGATCTAAGCATTGGTGATGCAGTTTTGTCGACAGCGTGGCATGTGCAATAGCGGGCGCCGGCGCTGCAATCGGGGTATGGGCAATGCGCTCTTCTGAGCCTGCGCAGCCCTGTCGAGTCGGTTGCTGTACTTGCGCCACCAGTATGTGAGATCTGCGAGTTCGTCCGAGCCACTTCACTTAGTATGCTGCGCTGCATCGCACGTTGGTCCCACAGATGTGCTCAAAACAATCCATGCTTGGGCGTCCCGAATGCGTCCACACCACTCTCACAGCCATGCCGTCACAACTCAGACACACTAGTACATACAACCCACGCGTCTAGCCCCCTCCCTGACCCCCATTCAACCAAATTTTCTCACCCAACTTCACGCCCACCCCAGACCACCCTGTTCCATGAGATGGGCCACATGTTCCACCAGATCCTCGGCCGCACAAAGATCGCCAGCTTTGCGGGTGAGCACCCCCTCCCCGAACTCATGACCTGGCATCCTCCTCACCCAGACTGCCCCAGGCCACAACCCACATGCGGCATGCCGATCGTGCTGCCTTGCACTGCTGCCTTGCCCTGCAAACGCTTGGTGTAGCCGGTCGTATTGGCCCAGTGCTCAAGTAAACCTGTGTTCGGGTCCTTAAAGTATCTGTGCCTGGTGTATGGAGTCGTGGCGGGTCCTCTTGAAGCGAAAAATTTTCACCTGCCGTCCATGCCAAACACCCCCTCCCCTCCTGCTCGCCCCAACAGGCACCAGCACTGACACTGACTTTGTCGAGGCCCCCAGCCAGATGCTCGAGAACTGGTGAGTGCGGCTGGCGTCGATCATCGCACAGCATCATCATCATCACCCTTTGGAAGCTGCCCTATTTGGCGCAGTCCTGTCAAAGGCACTGCGGGCCATGGCGCTGGCCCTTTGCAACCCCAACGCAGCGGCTTCCTTGCAACGCGTAGTCCCAACTTGTGTGCATAGCGATGCATTGGCCACCCGCATCCGCCTGTTGCGCTGCACAGCTCCCCTTGCCACCGCCCCAGGAATGCCGCCTTTTGCAACAGACAACACACTGCAACACAACGCAGCCAACTTGATTCTGCAATAGGTCCTGAATCAACTTGCTGCAATCACTGCTAAATAATCACAAACTTGTTCCTTGCTATACAGGACGTGGGAGCCGGAGGTGCTGCGTCGCATCACAAAGCACCACAAGACTGGCAAGATCATGCCAGAGCACCTGATTGCCAAGCTGGTCAAGAGCCGCGTCGCAAACGCAGGTGATACCACTGTTTGGTTGGGGTCTCAGCCAATTTTCTATCATCAATGCTGACTCTTTGCTGTTTGATACTTCTCGTGCTGTGCAAAATCGTGCCGTGCTCACCTGCACACATCGTTGTACGTGACACGGGGTGAGTGCTCATGCGCATGTGCATGTGCACACACACACACACACACACACACACACACACACACACACACACATGCACACGCGCGTGAGTCAAGAGTTGCAACAAGATACCCTTGCTGCTACCACACACCACAACTCTTACCTCTTACCACGTCTTCTCAGGCATCAGCAACATGAAGCAGCTCGCGTACGGCCTCTACGACCAGAAGGTCCACACCAGCACAAACATCAGCACAGCCGACACGTACATACAGGTGGGCTCCTGCTTTCCTGATTCGTGTGGCCCCGCAACAGGCTGACCTGCCAGCTGGCACGCAGGAGAGCCCACCCTTACCGTGTGCCTGCTGCTGCTGTTCAACGCTCTGGCTTGACTGCGGATTTGCCTTGCCCTTCCAGATGCATGCTCTGTGGCGTCGTGGGATCGCGCGCCAGCTGTTCCTGGCACCACCATTGCACGATCCCCTCCTCCCCCCCCCCAGGTCATGAGGGATGTGACGCGAATTCCTCCACAGACCGGCACCCACCCTGCGGCACGCTTCGGCCACCTGATTGGCTATGATGCACAGGTATGTGTTCATACGTGTTTAGGTGTCTGCGTGTGCGCACAGGATCGTGCATGCGCGCGCGTGTGTGTCTGCATGTGTGTGTGATTGCCCGTGTGTGTGTGTGTGTGTGTGTATGTATGTGTGCGTGTGCAGGCACCTGCGCATACGCTCGTGTGTGAGGGCGGGATCAAGTGTTGGATGTGGAAGTGTCCATACGTTTGCTTGTGTGCAAATTCAGAGAGCAAAGTTGCCTGGTTGCAAGCTGTCAACAAGAGGTAGCTGGATTGCAAAGCAGCTGGTGGCCGCACCTTGTCCTCGCACAGCATCATGCAGCCAACCACGACCGCGTTGCCACCTTTGCCACCCATGACAACACTGCGACGCACCCTCCCGACTGGGTTGCCCTCCCTACCGCACCAGAATGTCCAGGACGCCGCCACCACCTGCAGCATCATGCACACGCCACCTGCAAGTCCACACATCCCCAGGCTGTCACAACCCTCAAAACCGCTCACCTCCCCCTCCACCCTCCAACCCCCACTGTTC